GGCCGGCCGGGGTCTAGTCCGGGGTAGCTATTACTATCAGTATCTCTTACCGTCGCGAGTCTATACGCGATTTAAAGACCTCGAAGAAAAAGAGGTGACGGACGAATATATCTACCCGATAGTCGTCAAGAGCTTTATCGCGATTATCGAGCTCCGCCTCGAAATAGGCTACCCGTAGGTCTTTTTAAACGCGTTAGGAATCGAAATTTCCGAGCTCTATAACTAGGGGTAAGATTACGTAGGAATCCTCGACTACCTTCGTAGGCCTACTCGATTATTTAGGATAGACGCGATCAAGGTCTACTAGGTCTTAAACGATCTAAGTATCGTTAGAATCGTTTAGGCGCGCGAGAGTGTCGAGGACGATAATAGGCGGAAGCGATTAAGAATGTTAATATAGTAATATATAATGTACGAGGAACTCGTCGAGAAAACCGTTCCCCTCCTCGTTACCGACGAGGGATCCCTCGTAGAAGTCGTATAGTATACGAGGGGTTAGGTAAGGTAGGGGTATCTAAGTAGACTCTCCCTTAGTTATTTAACTTAATAGTCGAAGAAGACTTAGTACTAGAGGCGTCGAAAATTTCGGCTCTCTACCCGAAGAGAACGAGGTAACGGAGGCCCCGAATAATATAAGGCTCCCTTCGATTTTTTCGAGGTACGTAGTTAGCCCGTTAAAAGGGGAGTTTAACGTAAGTTCGCGTCCCCTCGAAAAAATCGAGGGATGCCTCGGAATATTCGAACTCGAAATATTCGAACTCGAAATATTCGAACTCGGGCCCTACTCCTCGAAATACTCGAACTCGAAATACTCGAGGAGTAGGTCGAAATTTTCGTACCGACGGGGAGGGTACCAGACCTGATAGTATCGATACTACTTAGGAGGGTATTAGACCTAACCCTCTAGAAAACCTTAGCGAGGCTAGATTATTTCAACCCTCTCTTCTTTCCTTCTGACCTTTCCTTCTTCATCCTACCTACCCCGTCGCCGCCGCCTCGCTCCTGCCTCGTTTTTTTCGAATAGTCTGACAGTCTATCTAGCCTTGAAAAAAACGACCGCTAACTCACTAAAAACGACCTCGAAAAAATCGACCTAAAATGCCTAAGGTCCCTAAGACCCTAAAAAAGGCTACGGGCGGGTCGAAAAAAGCGACTGACGGGTCGAAAAAAGCGACTGACGGGTCGAAAAATACGCCTACACCCTCCCCCTCTCCGGCTTCGGCTAAGATTACGCCTACGATGCCCCCCGCCGGCGCTAGTAGCCTTCTTAGGTGAGCCCTAATACCCTCCCTCCTCGAAAAAAACGAGAGCTGACTCGAAAAAAAAGATCTAGAGCTCGGGTCTAGCGCGAGGAGGGCTACGGCCGTATCGAGCGCCCTATCATTATAAGTAAGTCCACCATTAAGGAGAAGATCGAGTAAGTTCATTTTTCTCGAACCCCCCTTCGTTTTTTTCTCGCCCAGCCCCTAGCACCTTTTCCCTCGTTTTTCTCGAGTATCTCGCTCCTTTTTTTTTTAGCTAACCACCAGTACGATTTCCCTCGTTTTTCTCGAAGCCCCCTTCGTTTTTTTTTTAGCTAACCTCTAGCACGATTTCCCTCGTTTTTTTCGAGTACCTAGCCCCTTTTTTTTTTTAGCTAACTCCCAGTACGTTTTCCCTCGTTTTTTTCGACTAGAGTACCCACCCGCTAACCGTCGATTTTTTCGAACTAGGAATCGTTTTTAGCGAGGTAAGAGTAACTTACCCGTAAAGATAAAGTACTAGTCCTACTTTAAAGGAAATAAGGTACTTTTCGACTCCCCCCTCGAAAAAAAAGAGCCTAGACTTACCTCGAAATTTTCTAGCGTATCCCTATTAAGGTCGGCGAGGCCTCGGATAGTACTAAGGATGATCCCTACCTAGCCTATAGGTACCTAGCCTCGGTAAGAACGACTCCCCCTTCGATTTTCTCAACCGCTAACTCGAAAAAAAAGTACGTATTAGTAGAGGAGCTCCTAGTAGTCTTTAACGTCTACCCTAGCGATCCTAAGGCCGCTAAGGTAAGAAAAAATCGAACCTATACTCGAAAAAAACTAACGGATGGTAGACTGGACCGGACTACGCTCTCTATATCGGTATATACCGCTATAACTTCATCGAGGCTAGTTTTTCCCGACCCTCTATTCGAAAAAAACTAACTGTCCTAGCTAATTAAGATGCTTACCACCTAGGTAGACTAGGTAGAGGACTAGGAGGTTAGTTCGAAAAATCCGAGTCCCCCCTCATTTTTTTCTAACATAATGGCAGTTCGACGTCGAAGTCGCCTATTAGGCGTTAGAGGCTAAAGGCTAGGAGTCCATCTTATAGCCTCGTTTTTTCCGACTACGGCCTCTTTTTTTTTTAACCGGAGTCCCACCCATTTCTACTCGATTTTTTCGAGCGGAAGGCCTCTTTACTATATATAACGGTAGTGGTGGTTTACTATATTCGTTTTTTTCGAGCTGGAGGATAGGATATAGGGCTAGCATCATTTTTTTCGAGGTACATCTATAAGAAATAGGAAATTAGCTAAGTCTAAAGGCCCTCGTTAGAAACGACTCTAGGGTCGAAAATTTCGGCTAAAGAGCCGAAAAATACAAGATAAATTAAGCTTCGAAAACTTCGACTCTTCTCTCGTAAATTAAGAGCTTCTCTTCGAAAAAATCGAGCGGCGTAAACGCCCGTCAGGAGTAGCCTCTAACGGCGATGCGGCGCCTCGAAAAAAACGAGTCTAGCCTCGTTCGGACTAGGGGAGGGTTTAGAGACCCTATAGTCGAAACCTTAACTTAGCCTACGAGGAAGTCCCTAAAGCCACACCATTTCCGCTCTAATTTAACGACCCTTAGTTCGATTCTTTCGAAAATGAATAGAGGGGTAGAACTCGATATTCTCTATCCAGTAAGCGAAAAAAACGCACTTGGAAAATTTCTAGTTGAAGAGATATTCGCGATTTTGATCTTTTATAGATCTTCCCTCTAGGGTTAAGACTATATTAGTCCATCTACGAGACCGAGAGTCTATCTAAGTAGATATTATCGAAGAATAGACCCTAATAAACGGAAAAATCGAAAAAACCGTCGTTTTTTACGATGGGTACCAAGAGATATTCGACTTTCTATTTCCTTGGTACCCATCATAGAAAAAATCTTGGAATCCTTCGATGGGTACCATCGAGCAGGGTGGTAGTGTTGGCGGTGATACTATCACCAAATCATCGGATGTTTCGCATACTTCTGCGGGCGATGCATCTTCTACTGCCACTGGTTCGCCTGTCGCCAGTGCTTCCTCTGTCGCCAGTGCTTCCTCCGTCGCCAGTGCTTCCGCTGCTGCCGGTGCTTCCTCTGTGATCGGTGATGATAACTTCTTCGCCTTCTTCTGCTTCTTGTCCTTCTTGGACCTTGGGAAGCTTCCCCGGTCGCTGTTGCTTTCTTCTGGTCCTGGCTCTGGTTCTGGTTGGTCGCAAATCTTAGTGCTAATGCCCCATTCCTCCTCTTCGTCCGGAAAGCACTCAAGTGCTTGATGCGGACACTCTATCTCGCCCTCCACGTTCTCAAGGTTAATCGAGTCGCTCTGGTGTAAATGGATATGAAATTGACAAGGATTAACCTTCTTCACAGGCGAGTCCGGGAAATGGAACCCGTACCCGGTTTGAGCATGTATCCCCGCCTTGTAAACATCGGTCGCCAAGTCGCCACACCCGCATCGACTAGTTTCATCCACCTATCCTCCTCCCTCACATACCGCTCCTTGTATATAGACATCAACTCTGCCCGGAATACTCCTCGAAGGGGGCTTTGTGGGCTACATCGTTGATATATACATGGGAGCATCTCAGGTTGAAGTACCCAATTCCCAGAGGTAAACTGCTGGTCGAACCGGTCCGCTGCTTGGTTTTGCAGTGCAACCACCTCATATTCCTCGGCGAAAAGGTCTAGCCCTTGTAATTCTTCCAGTGTGGTCCGAGGATCGATGGACGGGGTAGGACTCGCCGCCCAAAGGAGGAATCTTTCGAAGACATCGGGCTGGACATCGAAGAGTAAGAGAGTGGATGACTGTTGGTCAATGCGTGTTCGAAAGATACGAGATCGGCGTCGTAGGAATTCGCGCGGGACCAGGAATTCCTTCCCGTCCCCGCCGACTAAGACCTTAATGCGGTCACTCTGGAACCATCTGTGGCCTAAGGCGTTAGCCCCTCTCGAAGCACCCTCGACCGGCGGGATGTTTATATCACTCACTTAAGAAAGAGTTGCGCGTTTCGTTTCTCCATGGTCGATTTAGACGCTTTTCGTCCCCGAGTGGTAGAGATACTGATGGCGATGTGGCAGGACAGTGCGAAGAGGAATGGGAAGAGCGGGGGGTTAGGGGATCAAGGGGTGTGTGCTGTCAATGCGAAGCCACGTGACTGTGGGCGTTCTGCCTCCTGGCATCGCGATGTCTGTGTCCCTTCGACGCCTGAAGACCGCCATGTGATTCCGCGCACGACGTACCTTTGCGGACTTGCCACGCGGCTAGACTCTATTGGCCACTATTCCAAGGCGAAGTGTCTCTCCAGGCACGTTATCGCTCCCTCCTGATCATCTTTCTATCCTGGCTAGTACCTCCCGCCCTAGGATCACCAGACAATGTATGTAATGTCGGAGAGAAATGGCCTAGGAATTGAACATTCGTTGACGTCGAAGCTCTATTATCTCCGAAACCGTAGATTAATATTATGAATTGGAAAGGTTGACGAAGTGAGCAGCTTCGGGCTCATCCATCGGATATTCTGCCACATCGAGCTCACCCAACACGCGACGCCCTTCCTGAACTGATCGAGCTTGATTCCGAGTAGACGAGAGCCAGTGATACTGACGACGTACGAAAATGGCTTGCTCCCGCGCAGCTTGCTCGCTCTACGCGGCCATGGTTCGTCGGACCCGTGCCCTCTCCGCCTGAGTACGGGTATGCTCTTCCTGCCGGACGCGTTGTGCCTCCAGTCGCGCTCATTCTCGCTGCTGGGCTTCCTCAGCCGCTCGCGTTCGCCCTTCGAGGGCTCGCCGTTCCTCGACCTGCACTCGTTGTCGTGTTCGAGCCTGCCGAAGACCGAGGGAGCGGCGACGAGACAACTGGGAGGCCGCTTGAGCGTGTTGTCTTTGTTCCTCCTCAAGGTGGGCCAGTCTCTCATCGTATCGTCGTATCATCTCGGCGAGGTCTCGGTGGGGGGAGGTTTCGGCCGTATGTCCCTCGCCTTCCTCCTCCTCGCCCGGCATGGCGCGGTGATCGTGATGAGGGATCGATTGACGGAAAGCTTGCTGCTCAATGCGAAGAGATCGCCGAAGGATTCCGAGGCGCTGCCGTTGCCGTTGGTGGACCTTCTCCTCCTGCCGGAGTCGCCGCCGATCCTGGTACTCGGAGAGCTGAGAGTCATCCGAGTCAAAAACACTGAGCTCACTCGATGACCCGCCATGCTCTTCAGGAGGCAGCCGACGTTCCCCAAATTCGTCACGAATCCCATCGGCGTCAATCCCATCTTCGTCCTCATTCATCTCGTCCGCATCCGTATCGACTTCGTGCCCCTCGAGACGGCGGAGCTGCTCGAAGACCTGCTCCGGGCGGAGGAACGCGAGATGAAAGTCAGGCCGCGGTAAACCTCGCATCACATCTGGCGAACGTCATCAGAGAGCAGCCGGTAGGCAGATTGAAAAGCGATACTCACCGGATTCCGGGGTGACTGACCAGCGGCCCTTGGGCCAGCGACTCCACTGGTGACATCGAACAACGCGATTCGCGTCCACGCCATGGTGCTGTGCGAGTTTATAGTTGTAATTGGACCACCATCGAAACTGTCGACGTTGATCGTTCCCGCATTCATGACTAATGAGTGCTTTCAAACTCGGGTAAGGAAGGAACCAGAAATTGATCCGAACGTGTTTGCTAAACTGACGTCGCCATGTCGGATAGTATTCGCGGCCGAAGATGTCCATGATGACCTGGCCACAGAAGGTATACAACATCCGATAAGGGAGTCGCCTCCACGGCCCGCGAGAGAAGCCGTCGTTCTCCCCCCATAGCCACTGGAAAAGGCTATGGAAGTTACGAATCTTTTGAAACGGCCGCACCATTAAATGAGTGGCCGCCCGCTCTGGATCGAGGACACGGTGGAGAGCGTCGGCCGATAGCCCGATTCGTCCTTTGACAATATCGGCCCAGTAATCAGGGCGAACATAGGGTCGAAGAATCTGGAAGACGTCCCGCTGAAATGCCCGGAGGCAGATAGCCCGAAAGAGTCGAAGGATGAATGCGACGTGGATCGGAGATTCCTTCCACCGCGACAGGAGCGAGACGGATGAGGCCACCAAGACATAGTCGTCCATGTGGTTACGTAGCTCGCGATAATGCGATCGAAAAGTCTCCAGGATCGACACATTTTGCACCCGAAATTGACCACTGACCTCGGGACGAAGTACCCAGTTCTCCCAATCGATCTTGTCCGCGAGCCACCCATAGCCATATACTTGTAGATTCGTTCCGATACCCAGCCCTTGTCGGGATTGTCGCTGCGCGATCGCCTCGCGCGAGCCTGGATGAGACCGAGGGCGATAGTGATCTTGCTAGAGCACGGGATAGCTACCCGGGATTAGGACTCCAGCAAAGCACGAGATGCACTTAAGCAAGAGGATCATGAGCTGGGTGTGCTCCCAGGCGATGTAGGGCTTTTCCTGACAGCGCCCGTAGAGGGTCTCGAACCCGAAACAGAATTTGTTCAGGTTGAAGCGATACCACTCTTCCAGTATATCGGTAGAATGAATGACCCAAGAGCAGGTAGGAGTCACGGTAAACGGGGCTAAGGTGATAGAGAGGCGGCGAGCGCATTGATCGATCTGTCGAAGGAGACGGAGAGTCACGCGGCACTCCCAGCGATTTCCAAACGTCTCCGTCGCCGAAGCCCAGAGCCCATAGTGGCAGCGAAGCTTACTGTGGATGAAGGCACGAGCTAGGACGTCCGGCTGGACGATGATCGCCCCACCGATCTGTTGGAACGTGGCCATTACTTCGGGGCTCAGCGTGAGGCTAGAAAACCCCCGGTTAGAGAAAGGATAGGTATTTCCCGCCGCGAAGATCTCTTTGAAATCCGAGTAGTGCTGGATGTAGGAGACACCCTCGTCGCGGAGTCGACATTCGAGCGGTAGTTCGAGAGTAGCACTTCCCACTCCGTGAACAAATCCCCATGGGTAAAGAGTCGGCGTTAGCCGGGGCGATCCCGGGTCTAAGGATTGGAGGCATGCCGTAAAGAGGCGCAGGAAGTCTTCGCGCCAGAGCAAACTGCAAGACGGGGGAGGGAGGGTCTCTTTGCCAATGTCCACATGCACTGTATCTTCGCTGAAATGCCGAGGGTCGAACTGCCGCTCAAACCAGTGAAAAAAGCAGTCGATGGTGGTGGCCCATGAAGCCGTTTTCCACGGCTGCAACTTTAACCCTTTACCGACAATGATGATGTAGGCGTCTTGAAATTCGTGATTGCCAGGCGCTTGGGCCCGGCGCCGGATGGCCTCTTGGATGGCGGGAAGGTAGGTGGCGGGGATTTCGTACTGCAGATTTTGATGGTGGACGGCGGCATCCACGGCCGCGGTTCGAGTCTCCGTACGCAAGGCCCGAGCGTTGGCTTGAGCTTGCTTGAAACTGGCCGGAAGATGGTGAAGACGGCCGGCAGGGAGGCATTCACGCAGGCTCGGGAGTAAGATACGATCGGTCCAATGTTGAAACTGTCGATCAGTAAGTCGCTGTCCTTCTTTCTCCGCCACACTGAACGACGACGGCTGGTAAAGCCGCGTGAAGACCCAATGCGCCGTAAATCCGTCCGCCCCAGGGAGACGAGCAAAACAATAGTTCGGGATATGGTGGATCGGAACTCGACGCTGATGGAAATGGCCGTGACTGTCATAGTACTGGACCAACATTGGCTTCATGTGCATACTCGTGGTTAGGGCTCCCAGAGGCATCTGAGAAGGGTACCACAGGATGCCTTGCCGAAAGACGCCGAGGTGTTGACTGAAGAGCACTAGGCTGTCAATGTCAAACTCACTAGTGACCGTGTAGTCACCCATTTGATCGACTAAAGGGTCAATGTGCGGTCGAAGATGTTGATCGGCCTCGCAAGTATAGCCCGTGAAGAGATATTGAAGCTCTTCGGCCGTATAGACAACGTTGGGCCGCTCAATCGAAGGATTCGAGATGACGTTGGGAAGTTGCTTGTCCGAAGGAAAGTGGGACTGAATGTGGTCCAGGCCCGCGCGGAGACTGAGGCGGTCTGTCGGTGGGGGGATCTCGTCATGGTTCTCGCGTTGACGGAGTATCTCGAGAAGCGGAGGAGGAGCTCCAGGAGCATTCTGCGTGAGCTCAAGTAATGTCCGAGCCGGATCGGCTGAGAGTAGTTGGGTGGCCAGGAAGTGGGCGAGAGCGGTGGCGGGAAGAGGTGCTACAAAAATCGGTTCGGCAGTAGATGACAGGATAGAGGATCGAGTTGAGGAACGTGTGTAGGATCTGCGACGCCTTCGAGAAGAAGCAATGCTGGCGACGGGAGATGACCTCGACGATAATCGAGTCGTGGATGGCTCAGAAATCTCCATGGATACACTGGCTTGCGAAGCAGTATCCATATTTTGCTCATTCAGTATAGAATGATCTTCTATGTCTGAATGATCCACATCAAAACTATCATGAGGAGGTCCTACCTCGGCGGAGGCAAGGATTTCATGTAGCAGGGTTGATTGATTCGGGGCCACCACTGGGCCAGCTAAGGATTGAGGAGTGGTGACTTCCCACACCATTTCCCCGGGCAATTGAGGAGCCGAGCTTAACTTCGATGTATTTTAATACTCCATATCGAAATACGAGCATAGAAACACTATACCTGAGAGAAGGGAGCATCGCTATTACGTGACTGTAACCTCGCTCGTTGCCGATACCGACGTGCTTCTTCCGCTTCCTTGGTGGTTTGATATTTCCGAGGTCGTCCAGGAGCCATGTTAGAGTAAGCCTAAACAAAACCTGACCGCGTTACTCGCCATAGAATAAAGTCGCACCCTAAAGAATGATCGAAGCAAGCACTCTACTTTACTCATCCTACGATATAATCTAACATCGAAATTTGAGAGGTTGGTAACTGCTGACATGAATTCCAAACGTTAGTTCCATTGATGAAACGAGTAGCGTACCCCTTACGAGGTCTCGACTTTTCGGGAAGAGCTATGTTACCTTTCAGAGGTATGGGTTAACTCACGTGCCAGTGATGACTGGCAAGCTATGTGGAAAGGAATGAGAGGCATCAACGCGACCTTTCACCAGGGAATTACAATTTAAGGATAGAGGCCTTCAGTACGCTCAATTAATGTCTTGAATCTATAAAGGAATGAGCTATATGATGTAGGTCTCGCCGTATTTACTTGAAGCGACATTGATTCAGTACCGCATTAACAAAGATGAAAAGCTACAGAGTAGATGCTTGATGTGGTGGTTGAAGAAGAAGCAGCCACGGCGTGGAGTTGAAATGCGGATGAGTGATTGGTGGAAATCTACAATAATTAAATTGGGACTAGTGCGTGGCTGATGTACAGCATGATTGATTGGGTGAAATCTACAAAAATTCGAGAAGGGCTTAGCGTGGCTCTAATTATCTTGGCAGGCCTCGACGAGACCCCTAGGTGCCGAACTTTGGAACGCCACCACAACGTGAGTATTGAGACAGGATGGAAGCAAAAGAGATGACTCGAACTGAGGAGAAGAGGACTATTGATTAGCACCAAAACATGCTGAAAAATCAAAAGTTGTTATATGGTGCTGCGGTTGCAGATTACCCTATAGAACAGCACGGCCAATAAGAAAGTTGACGAAGAGAAAATCGCTGGACTCCTAGATAAAAGTCTTTGAGAATGACCTGCCTGAGTCTGAACGATGGGACGCGCACATCGGACAGTAAACTAGTTTAGCTTCCCCGCCCGAGGCATTTTACAACAATCTACTCCCTAGACGGTAGATTATCATAAAAACGAATTAAGTCTTCCCTGGAGTGATCGGCCTAGAGATGGTCCTAGGCCTTTTCCCGTCCATAGCTACCTCTGATCGTCATCCCAGTTCAAATTGGAACGCTTCGACCCGGTGCCCATCTCGGCTCGCGACGCTAATTGGTCATTACGTGTGCCTTGAGATGATCCTCTTCATTTTTGTAAGTCTTGTCGTCCGCACGAGGATACCCCGCTCTGCCCCACGATGCGTTTCCAGCTACTGTGTGCGTTTCATCCAAGAACCAGTGGTTGTCAGGTCTAGTAGTTCCTCATCTCTAGTAGCTTCTCGATGCTCTAGATCCTGGGGCCGCTCCGCTTAACAGAGCTGTTCGAGACGAGAAATTGCTCTCCGAGCTTGTCCACCCTGACTAGAATTCGGAGTCTCCTGGTCTGGAGCCGGTGGAGTGGATGATGAAAGCTCGGGGTTGACGGTCTAATAAGCGCGACTGCGTTCCTTGACCTAACTTTGCAGGAAGATGTCCTCGTCGGACATTATCGCTACTGGTCTTTCCCTACAAGATGGGAGCACTCGATTGAAGGATATGGATGTTTGCTGACACAGCTTGGAGCTCATAGTGAGAGTGTTCACCAGACGAGGATCGCAAAGCCACGGTTTCTTCTTAGTTGTTGGCAATATGAAGAAAAGAATGGTATCGACATGCTCAGCTTAACGAGATCTATCGATTGGTGATAAGAAAAATATAAATATTGCTACTTTATGCATATGGTTACGGTTGCGGAATGCCCTTTGGAAGTAACTCTTTTCGATTCCTAACGCCTCCCTACTTCATTCTTAAGATTCTAGAAGGTTTTAGAGGGTATATTAGTAGGAGATAAAGGTCTAAATGAAGTAAAAAGTAAACTAAGAGGAGGAAAGGGGACCCTAACGCTACCCTCCAGCTACTCTACGTTACTTAGAAATGGTAGATTCTTTGTTTCAAGTAACGGGGTTTATCTCGTCTTGTTATGTCATTTATTTAATAGTTTTGTTTTTGTAGTTCATTTGACCTAGGTAAACTGATTTAAAGCATCACTTCTCTCGAAACTGCATGTTGTCCATGCTTTACGTAAAGAACTTTAAGTGCAAGATGGTGAGTGCGCTGATCCCACATTCACCTCCAGCAGTTACATCTGTACAATCATTCGTTGGACTCGAAGGGAGCGAGAAAGTCCAGAGCAGCCCGATATTCCTTTCGCAGAGCAGCGGCGTGCTCAGGACTACGAGGAGTGATCCTCACCTTGAACGGGAGAGGCGCCTGCGTGATTCCTGGGTTGTACGCGGTTGGGTCGAGTGGGATTGTTTTGCCGGTGACGGGGTCGACCGGTTCGCGTATGTCGAAAGCCCAAAGTAACTTAGAGGTTATTCGCCACATGTTTCGCTCGGCCAAGTGCATCCCAGGGCATACTCTGCGCCCGGCACCGTATCCATAGTGATGTATCATAGAAGTTAGTCAACTTTTGGAAGCTTTTGAAGGGGTAGTCTTAGACTTATCTCGGTCTTTCCAGTTGGCGCTCCCGGCGTATTCACTCGCCAGCTTGGGGTAGTTCAAGAAGCGGTCGGGGTTGAAGTCTTCGTCATTGGGGTAGATTTCCGGATTATGGTGGATTGCCCAGGTGGGAATGAAGATGGTCGAGTCTTTCGGGATCAGCATCCCCTTGTAGTAGTCATCTTGGCTCGGGTTAGGATATCTATTTCGGACATTTAGGGGTGTCCTCACATACCTTGTCTGACTCTGTGAGGAAGAGCAGTCACAGCGCTAGCCACATACAAATGTCAGTGACGGCGGAACAAAGTCAGCGTGGAACATCTGATGCACATACACTGGTCGCCATCTCATGCCCTCCTTGACGATGGCGTTGATATACGGGAGGCTTTGGAAGTCGGTGGACCACTGTGGCGAGCGAGAGGAGCCACATAATGGATCGATTTCCTTTCGTGCCTTTTCCTGCACCCAGGGGTTGCGCGCCAGGGCCAGGACCATGGTTAACAGCTGTGCGGACGTCGTGTCCGCACCTCCTTCGACCAACTCGCCGATGAGATTGTTAAACGCGTGTTGACTCATCGGGAAGCCTTTCTCGTTGTACTCGTCTAGAAGTCGGTCGGCGATGCAGTCGCGTTTGTCACCCTTAGCCCTTCGTGCCTCGATGATCTGACGTGCTCGAGTCCATACTGCGTCCATGGTGTCTCCTGCTCGCAATGCCCGTCGCTTCCATAACGCGAGGCTTTTGGGGATATATTTCAAGATCGGGTACTCGTCAACCGGCGGATTCGCTCCAGGTTCCATGCATTCCGTCCACTAGGATATATTTTAGACGACTCAATCACGAAAAAGATGCTTCGCTCACCTTGGTCATCACGTCGTAGACGGCCTACATTGTCCGTTAGCCCTTTAGTCTTTTCAAGTCCAGAGAGGTTGGTTTCCATACATGGCCCCAGAAGGAGTCAAAAGTGGCACCTCGCTGGCCATAGACTAATGTCGCAGCCACCGACGCCGTATATCGACGGATATGGTTGAAAAAGCCGTCTGGATGGTTCAACAGGTCATTCATCAATACGATGCCCCTGTAAGCAGTGTGTTAGGCCAATCTCTTTATTACACGCCTTTAGCCGCCGTGATGAACTGACTCTGCCTCTTGAACTCTAAAATGTTTCTCGTCGAGCATCTTGGGGGAGAAGTTGTGTGCAATGACTTTTCGCTTTTCTCTCCAGAGCGAGTCCGCTGGCGAAATTGCAATGTGGTCTCCCTTGGTCAGCAGGTTACCGACATATGTTGTCGGCCGGTCCGAATAGATGCTGCCTTTCTTGTCGATAAGTTCGTGGATGGCCTCCCGGTCGCTGAGAACGATGATGTTGGACGGTCCGAATTTCAGTGAAAACACCGGGCCGTACTCTTTCGCCCACTCGCGGAATCTGTCCCCATCCTCAGCCAGTTGTCAAATGCGTTTTCTACAAGCGGGTTTCCACGTACTGCCTATACATCCCTGTCGAGGGGATTTGATGGAAATTGCCCAGAATCGGAAGTGTAGGAGGACCCTTTGGCATTCTCGGGTCTCGCCTACCAATCCGGAGGATTCGGTAGACTACACAAATGCCCAGGACCAGCAGACCGTAGCTGAGGTACGGGAGTTGTTGGAATGGTTGAGCCATGATCGCTGTCGAAAACTGGGTTAACTTGTCAAACAAGCACTCTGCAATCCGCGCAAAAAGGGCTTTCAAAATCAAATTGGACAACCGCCCCAATACAATGCACGAGGTATATATGAACGGTTTGGTTGTCACCCATTTGTCTGATAGTCGGACTAATTTCAAAGTCTTGGCAAACGTACATCAACGATATGTCCGGAAAAGCCTGCTAAAATGTAACATGTATGAATCTGATTGCTCAAGTCAAGTTAGTCCGCCCACTGAAGCATCTCAAACGCCGGAGTTTTCTGCATGACAAGGTTCGAGCATCATAGTTGACACTCCAAAACTTGGTTTTTGGTAATCCGACTATGTAGATTCGCCTTGGGGGACATTCTGCGACCTTTGGCAGACTCTCTTGTCGTGTGGGTAAGTGTAAAACGATTCGTTGGTGCTTCAGGGCTCCACCGCATGTTCCACTATGCCATAAACGGAAACGGATGAAGTTCTGCCGGGCGCAGCCTCTCTCTGTGTGTGTGTGTGTGGGTGAGAGAGAGAGAGAGAGAGAGAGAGAGAGAGAGAGAGAGAGAGAGAGAGAGAGAGAGAGAGAGAGAGAGAGAGAGAGACTGGAGATGTGATACAACTATATACAATAGGGTGTGAAGAGAGAGAATAGATACAGACGCTGACGTTGAATCACGCTAGATATATAGGTGACAAGACCTACTGTCGAACACTACATAAGACACACAAAAGACAGCGAACACATATAAGAGAAGGTAAACACGAAAGTCAGAGATAGCAAGAGTAGAGCACGAGAGGAGAAA